GGAGCAGCTCATCTTGAGGGCCATTACACACCATGTACAGGACAACCAGATGATCAAGCCCAGTCAGCATGAGCTCATGAAAGACAGGTCCTGTTTGACTAACCTTGAAGGTCTTTTCCAGCCTAAACACTTCTGTGACTCTCTGACATCTTAAGAAAATTAAATATATAGCCTTGTCCAAGGATAGCTTCTTAAGCCCCTCAGAACAGTCAGAAGAAAATTAAAAAGGAAAAAAATGGTAATCCATTAAAGTGACTTTGAACAACATGTGAATCATCTGAAGAGCAGATCAATATGACACTCTACAGCTTTATTTTAAATAGCAGATTTCCTGTAAACAGAATTCAGTAATGTCTAAGAAACTAAAGGGTCCATGTCTGTAAGTGGCTGACCATGACGTAAGGATTTTATAATGTTTATGATTTTATAAATTAAGATATTCATATATCTGTTTAACCTAGAAAGAGAGAAATTAAGAGACTGAGGAGAAAATAAATAAACTGGTTTAACTCTTTTAGCTATAAAAACTGTTCAGGTACTGAAGAGATTAAAAGTCAGGAAGGCAGAGAAGCAAACGGCACAGCTGGAAACGGGGTTTCTGCTGTTAATACTGGGGTGGGACGGAAAGAGCAAACACGGAGGAATTTCATGAAATGGGTGAAGAAGGGGGAAGATCTGGGCCACAGATGAAATCCTAAGGGTGGAGAGTTGTGAAAACCAGCAAGGTTATTTCTGCACGTGCTCTCCTCATGCCTGGGCTGTGTTTTCTGCCGGGTTCAGATCATTTGCCATGCTGTGGGTATATAAATAAAACATAAACCCGAAGGTAGTGACTGCCCGGGGGTCAGGTGAGAGGCCCGTGCAGGGGGGGACGCACGGCAGGGCCACGGGCTGCCCACGGCAGGGGCCGCAGAGGGTGACGCCTGAGGGCACCCGTGTAAAACCACACCCGAGTCCCTAGTAGGCGAGGACTGTAAAGCCAGGACTCAGTCCCGTGAAAGGAGATGTCCTTGAAGTTCCCAGTTCAGCAAATTGAGTGGGTTTGGTAGGCCCATAGCCAAGGACAAGCATGGACACACAAGGACAGAAGAGAGCAGCAGAGAGGGAAGAAAAACCTTTGCTTGGCTTGAAGCCAGTTCCCATTAAGTCTCCATCTATAGCTTCAAACAGGGGAATCAAATGCAAAGCTTGACTAATGGAAAGAGATGATTCTTTAAATCAGTTCCCTCCCCACTGGCCCCTGAGCAGAGCTGGTGCTAAGGGCAGCTGAGGAGCCCCACTGCCGCTGGCGGTGGTGGAGTGATGGCAGCACTGGAGATAACACGACAGAGGAGTAGGCCCTAGGACAGAGGGGTAAAACAGGTATTATTTATTTTCCTGGAAGGTTACAAAGATTTAACTTTATTAATTTTTAAACCATTTTAGTTAATCTAGTGCAAATCCTTGTGTGAACACATTAAGAGCTGCCTTGAGATAGACCAGAATGATGGAAACCTGCCTTGCAGAGACTTAAACAGCTTAGACTACTTAGTTTATCCCACAGAAGATGAAAAGGTGACCTCATTGTTTTCTGCAAGATCATACATGAAGGAGAGATTTGCTAGTAGACAACATTATAATCCATCAGGAAAAAAAAAAATCTTTTTTGGGGGGAGGGGGTGAGAGCTGAAGCAAAACAGAGACTAGAAATCAGGTCTACAGTTTTGCAGGGAGGACATGAACCAGAGGAATAAATTCCCAGGGGAGGGAGGGACTTGATGACTTGATGGACAGGTATCGGGAAGCCTTAAAGGAACCAACTTCTCTTTTTCAGCTACAGGGGTAAGTTAGGCATTTACCTTAGAGGACTGCTTCACTGAGCAGCCAGTGTAAAACCCCCATTAGATGCCTGTGTTACGTGGACAAGGACTTTTTTCCACCTGCTTTACAGTTCACTGATTTTTTAAACAAATGACCCTCAAGATTAAAGTGGTATTTTAAGGCTGCCCCACTTGTACCTATATCCAGTATATTTGCAGCCTTTGGCTTTCATTAGATGAAGTGAAAATGGTCATCTTCAGTTCCTCAGTGGCAGGTGAAGGAGGGTAGGAGAAATAAAGATCAGTTCTATCATCATCAAGCATAAATGGAGAGCAGTGAAAGTGAGTGCAAAAAGGTGTCCAGGGGACCTGAAGTTCAAATAGTGAAATTCATCCAGAAAAAAAGATGGTTGTTCTTGCCATTTGAGCCTTTCTCCAATAATCCTATAGACATGGTCCTCAGCCACACCCAGCTCCCAGCACATGTGAAGGATATAACCCCTCCTTCTCAAAAATGGATTAGGATAATCAGAAAGTCATTAGCAGGGACATACCTGCCTTGGGAAGTGTGGTCTGTCAGGTACGTCAGCCAGCACCCGGGAAGGCAGCACAGCTGCTCACTTCAACTGGCCACAAGTGTTCCTGGTGCTACATCAGAATGAGTGGTGTGAGACAATAACTGTGGGGTGACAGATATCAATTATATCTTAGGATATAAAGAACTAGAAAAAAACATTAGGTCAGTTCTTCTCAGCTCTATCGCTTTTCACAGTTCCTAACCAATCATAACCAGTTTCTTAACCAGCTTTTAATAAGACATCAAGAACTAAATTACCAAGATTAGATTACTGCAGTAAGTGATTTAGCAAAGTGTAACCCAAAAGCAGTGTATGAAACTGTTTATATTATGTGAGGTTTTTGTATATCTGCTAGGCTAGACATGAGTGCTGTCCTACATGCTGTGAGCAAATTCAGGAGATGCAGCACATGGTACCTTACCTGGAGGAGCAGCTTGTGCAAAATACATCTGCAGGCTTAAGTTTGGTAGCAAATGTTAAGAATCAGCTTGATATAGGTGTGTCACCTTGAGTGCTCCCAGCACCATGTTGTTTAATCTTGTCAGATTTCTTCTCTTTGATCACTTGTTGTAGATGAATTTAATTTCTCAGTAACTAATTTAGGGCATTGTACAAGGCAGTTCTCCATGCTCATTATAAGGGACTTTTCTAATTTTGTTTTAGTTAAAGGTTGCCTCCCTCTTGCTTTTGCCTCAGTTTTATGAGTGTCTTAATTACTTTCAGTTACATTACTTGGAAACTCATTAATGCATTTTCATTAAGCACATTATTTTGTGCTGTTTCCACCATTTATATAGTTTCTCCCTTTTATTTTCATAGACTGAACCATAGAATAGGTTATGTTTGAAGGGACCTTAAAGTTCCTCTATTTCTAAACCCCTGCCACGGGCAGGGGCACCTCCCACTAGACCAGATTGTTCAAAGCCCCATGAACCTGGCCTTGAACACTTCCAGGGATGGGGCATCCACAACTTCCCTGGGCAAACTGTTCTACCACCTCACTACCCTTACAGTAAAGAACTTTATTCTCATATCTAATCTATATCTACCCTCCCTCAGTTTAAAACCATTAGCCCTTGTGCTATCACTGCACTCCCTGATAAAGAGTCCCTCAGGGGACAGGAAACCCTCAGGTTGCCCCTTTCCCAGTCAGTGGGAACTTCACTGGACTGCCACAGATTCTCAAATGTGATGGGAAATGGCTTAGCCACTTCATCCACCAGTCCTCTCAGGACCCACAGATTTGTCTTACCAGGTCCCATGGATCATCAGGTTCCTTTGATGGTCTCAGTCTCAAACCTGATCTTCTCCTACAGTGGGCAGCTCTTCATTCTCCTAGCTCCTGCCTTTGCCTTCTGCGAAGTGGGTGGCGTGGGCAGAGCACTTGCTGATGAAAGCTGAGTCAAAGAAGTTGTTGAGTACCTCAGCCTTCTCCATATCCCCAGTAACCAGGTCTCCCATTTCCTTCCCCAAGTTTGGGCAGTGAGAATTTGAAGGACATGTTACAAAGGGACAGTTCCTCTGTTGCTAAATCATGTTTAACAGATGGGTTCATGGCCATGGATTCATTTCATGTTTGCATATTGCCTATCACTAATATTAGGAGTAAAATCCCTGAATGGGTGATGAGAGTTTCTGTTCTTGCAGTCAACAGTTCTGAGTAATTGCTACACAGGAAACTCCTATTTGACTGAATATGTCATTACGTGGAAATATAGGAGCCTAGAAATCACATTATTTTCCACAGTCTCCAAGACTCATTTTAGAGCAGCTATTTGGATCTCTGCCACATTATCTGCAAAAAAAAATCTTTTAAAAAATCTTTTTAAAAAATGACATCTGTACTTGTGACATTGTCTGAAATGAATCTTCATCCATGGATTATTAACTGCACATCCCTTCTGGTCAGTGGCTTAATTAAACCAGATACTGATGACCTTAAACTAATTTAGCACTTTCATCCATACTCTTTTCTGTTTGGTTCATGTCAAGTACGGATGCGATGGCGAAATCTTATTCCAGCACTAACACTTCCAGCATCCTGCAATGAAGCACAGTCGTTTGATTTGCACAATGAAAATTAAATGGCAGCAACTTACTCTGGCACAAAATGTGTGTGGCTGGTCAGTTAGCTAGAGTGAAAAGAGCGATCGTGTTGTATTATGTTGCAGGTGAGATCTGTTCCACGAGCTGAACAACTGAAGTATATTAACAGCTGCCAGCCTGTGGTTGCTATTGGATATCACTGCACTGATTTGCAAGAATAATCTCATTGTGTACTCATTAAAAGAAATTAATTAGTGGAAGACATCTCAACAAAGATGTCCTGCGTTTCTTTAGCTTGCACTATAATGAGATTTGAGAGGCATATACAGAAAATAGAACCAGCCTTCTCTGAGTTCTTCTCAATATTTTAAAAGCTTAGGAGAAGCGTTAATTACAGTGTTTACCAAGTGGCTGAATTTGTAGAGTGTTAAAAATACCTTTCCACCTCTGCTTTTCTTCTCCTTGTCAAGCTGCCTTTCTGTTCCACCCCAGCCCGCTTCCTCTGCCTGTCTGTCCTGTCGTTGCTGTTCAGCCCGTGTTGCCCCAGCTCGGCTCACTCCGGTTGCTGTCGTTGTAGGTACGACACCATAACCAACCAGTGGGAGACCATTGCTCCTCTGCCAAAGGCTGTCCACTCGGCCGCGGCCACCGTTTGCGGCGGGAAGATCTACGTCTTCGGCGGGGTGAACGAGGCCGGCCGAGCCGCGGGGGTCCTGCAGTCCTACATCCCCCAGACCAACTCGTGGAGCTTTATAGAGTCTCCCATGATTGGTAAGGGATGCGTGGGGTCAGACTAAACCCGTGTTACAAGAGGAATCTCTGCGCCGCAGGTATTTTAATGCCTTTGCAGAGAGCAAATGAGTTGGGAGGTGAGGGGAGATGCGTTTACAACAGACTGGGAGGAATGCATGGTGTTATAACAGAGAGGCAATTATCTGCATCTTTACTGAAGGCCATTGTCACTCATTAATACAGCTAGTTATCAGCTAAGAGTGACGAGTTCAAAAGCAGAGGAGAAAGGAGAGCAGTTATTAAGTATGGACAACTAGTCATTTTATATCCAAAAAGTGACAGATTGCAGTGAAACTTCATCCTAGCATCTTGTGTTGCTCCATGCAGTTTTACACCACCACTCAGTTAATGGATTATTACTCTTGGGCTTGTTAACATACCACCTGTCCTTTGGGAAGTGGTGGCCATTTTAACTGGGTATTATCAGTGGTGTCCAAAACTATATGTGCTTTGGAGGCTGAAATCTTCAAGGCATGTGGATTATTAAAACTGTGTTTATTCATTTGTGATACCCTCAAGCTCACCAAACATTTTTACAGAATAAAGAGCAAGACAAGAGGCCAAATTTTCCAACATACCAACCAATGTCAGAGGTGCACACTTCCTTCCAAAATTAGGATAGTGCTCAGAAGATTGAAACTTACTTGCTTTCTGTAACAATTTGCATCCTGAACATTTAGGCTGCTTCTGGAAACGGCGTTCAGCATTCAGCCTCACAGGGGTGTTCCTGACCTGGGCCACCTGTTCTGTGCTGAGTCTGTGCTGTTTAGTCTTGAGAAGAGAAGGCTGAGAGGGGATCTTCTTAATGTCTATAAATATCAGAGGAGTGAGTGTCAAGAGGAGGGGGACAGGCTTTTTTCAGTGATGCCCAGTAATAGGACAAGGAATACTGGGTATAAGCTAGAACACAGGAAGTTTCACCTCAACATGAAGAGAAAATTCTTTACTGTGAGGGTGACAGACTAGTGGAACAAGCTGCCCAGAGAGGTTGTAGAGTCTCCTTCTCTGGAGACTTCCAAAACCCACCTGGATGCGTTCCTGTGTGGCCTGCACTTGGTGATCCTGCTGTGGCAGGGGGGTTGGACTAGATGATCCGTAGAGGTCCCTTCCAACTCCTAACATTCTATGAGTCTATGAGTGTCTGTGAGCAGCCTTTGGTCTGACTGCACTTGGGTGGCCAAAGAAACAGCAGTTGTATAGTCATTGCAGAGGAGCTGCTTTGGCATCCTTGCTTTTGCATGCTTGCTCTTGCACCCTAGGATCATAGAATCCTAGAATATTTGGGGTTGGAAAGAACCTTTAAAGGTTATCTAGTCCAACCCCCCTGTAGTGAGCAGGGACATCCTCAACTAGATGAGGCTGCTCAGAGCCCCATCCGACCTGACCATGAATGTTTCTAGGATGGAGCACCTACCACCCCCCTGGGCAAACTGTGCCAGTGTTTCACCATTCTAAACCTTTTAGTTGTGTTGAAACTATGACACAAGGTGCATCATTTAAAAAAAAAACCTCAGTCTCAGCATTGAGCCTGGTAGAGCAACAGGAGTCACAAGTAGTACATTACAGAAGCACAGTTATAAGGCCTTCAGGTGAGGTCAGAGCATATTCAGGAAGCTAAAATGCATTGTTCTTGTTATAGCTTGTTGTAATTATTACGAGTCTCGTCTAGGGGCTCGGGGCGTGAGGAGCTGGTGCAGCCAGGGCTGTGGCCTCCCCTGCAGGCAGCAGTGCTGCTCCCCTCCCCTGCTGCTGCTGGTGTCCAGCCTAACAGGACACGACAGGCGTGTGCTGGAGCGTGAGGCGCCCAGCGGGAGGGCCAGGGCCACCTTTGTGCAACACAGCCGTGCAGGCAGCCCTGCTGCCAGGCGCTCTCCATCACACAGTACAGCTGCTGCCCTTCAGTTAATCCACTGACTGACACTGGGAGGGTTTCCTGTGCTCACAGTGTACGGAAAAAGACAATGCATTAGGAAAAGAGGCATTCTTTTTCCTTGCCAAAATAGTGCAAGTGCCACAGGAGCTAAGAAACCGTTCCCTGGGCTCATTATACTCTCCAGCAGGCATCAATGCCACGCGTGCCTGGAGAAAAGCATCATCCAAAGCTTCCAGAGCTGGGTTCATCACCCGTTGGGCTGATGGGCACATACTGTTATTTCCCAACAAAAATACATGAAGGACATGGGTGAAGTTCAAAGATGGTATTTATGTTTTCTTGGTGTAAAGAAAGTTAATTACTTAAGCTGAAGGCATAAAATATATGATGAAATGTGGAGTTGCTCTGCATCTTTGCTGGGAAATGTATAATATCATTTTATTTAAAAATAAAGTAAAATAACAGAGCCTGAAAAATTGCACCCCAGTGGAGAATGTCTGGGAAACTGAGCTGATGTGTTGCTTGATCTTCACTAAAAGGCAGTGGGAATACTGGAAATATACTTTAATTTCTTCAGCTCTACAAGAGCAGTAGTTTCACTTTGTAAAGTATCCCCCAAGAACTGGATGCTGTGCCAAGTGCAGTACAGTCAACATTTATCTAAAACAAAGCGGGAGTAGCAGGAGTCTTGGGGTGCTCTTTACAAAATGGAGCTGAGATAAACCCTGATATGATCACTAGGGTGCCTTTGACAGCTTCAGAGTCTTTTTGTGTGGATTTATGAATTCTTAAGGTGTCCCTCTGAGCTAAGTCAACTGAGACATCTAACGGCAAGTTGTGTGGGTTAAGGTCACCCCAGAGATCAGTGAAATCTGTTCGACCTCAAATAGAACAACAGATTATTTTAAAACATCTCAAGCATGCAACAGTAGATGCAGGATTTTAAAGCAGTCAAGATCTCTGGAGATTTTCAGACCAGTAATACCTGTCCCAAGTCACTGTGGTATTTCATGATGGTGAGTGGAACACAGCATGGCACACATCTGAACCCAGCAGGTCCATCTCCTCCAACGTGTCATGTGCCAGCGTAGCCCAGGGCAACACTGGCATCAACCATGGCAAGGAGGAGGGCAAGTTTTTGGCTGATCTGAACAAAGGTGAAGCAGACTGGATACAGACATCCTGCCTGTGCAGAGGAGATACGGACTGGAGACTGATGGGAAGTCCACAGAGCCCAGCCCCTGCTCTCTTCTGCCTGGGTTTCTTCCAGGACTGAGCAGTGCCCGCTTCCGTTCATTCAGGCCTTTACCTGTCAGGAGGTGCTGGGACGTGGGTGCCTGCGTGCAGTAGGTGTGACACTCACCAACACATTGCACGTGGATGCTGTAGTAGCCCTTGGCTGGGTGTTGATTTCACACATCCATGTTTGGAGAGGAGAGGGTCTTTCTCAGTGCGCCATCCTTTGCCCCACTTGTGTCCTTCCTTCCTCTGGAGCTGGGAGATGCTCCTGCAGCAGCACAGCCCACAGCCTGGTGTTAGTGGGGTGACAGAGCCTCCCCGGACTCTCACATTGCCTGTTTCTGGTAAATCACCTTGCATACCCACATCTTGTGTTTGTTGCTGTAAGTCACTTGCTGCTGTCAGGCCAAAGTCCTTCAAGAGCAAATGAATGCAGACTACGTACTTGCAGCACCTGTCTTCACATTTCTTGCCAGGGTGCCCTAGATAGCTCTGCTAAAAATGTGTTTCATACCCAGCTTCCTGAGGTTGGTCTTATTTAACAAGATGGCCATAGACATGTCGAAGTCAGTGATTGTAAGTAAGCCTAATTATCTTGTCACTGCCTTTTAGTTCACTTAGTGCCTTCATGCCAGGGCACCAAAATATACCTTTAATATACCTCTTTTTTCTTTTTTTTTTTTTTTTTTTTTTTGATACCCTGAACAGTCAATGTCTGTACTGGTAGAATTACAAGTTTTGGTGAACGTTTCTGGATTGTAAGAAAAAAAACAGTGTTCAATCATCACCACTATTATATTTTAAAATCTGGTGAGAACTACTGGAACACAGATGTCAAAGGTTGATCTATGAGCATTTGGGGTTTCTAATCCAAGTATCTTGTTCCTCACCATACTGTCTACTCCTGGTCTGATGTGTCTGACCTACATGAGACAATGACAGAGCTAAAACTGCAAGAAATACCTGGGAACACTGTTAGCAGTATCTGTGCATTTTCACTGCACTGCCTCATGGCTTATTTTGGTTAAAATGCGTAATCATTCCCATGAATTTGTTTTTAAGACTTCACAAGAAAAATCAGATATAAATCTTGGCTTGTCCCTCTCCCCAAGGCTAATAGTTTAGTACCTATGTGTGGGTTGGTCCTGCTTTCACCTAGAAGTCTCAAAGTAATGAGTGTTTTATCTCATCATTCAACATATTTTTCTTCCCATGACCAGTTCTTAGTGCTTTTCCCACTAATAAGCTTGAATTTTATTTTCCTTTGTCTCACCCATTTTGCCTCCATATATGCCACATTCTCATTCAGAATGGCCTTTGCACTCCCTGATGTGTGCTCCCCTGCATACACTTGCTCTGCCCTCTACCCAGCAAAGTCAGTATTTCTCTATTTGCCCTTTGGTGGATGTCCTCCCTTTCACTTCCTACCTCCACGTTGTAGGTGTGGCTGTGCTTTATCCAGCTCTTTTCATTTCATCAGCATTTTGCCTGTAAATTCAGAGCTGAAACTACTCCACAAAAGCAGGTGAAGCCTTCTGCTCCAGCATGGGTGATCCCCACCACACATAGGCAAAATGAGGCATTTGCAAGTGCAGACACTCAGCTTCGGAGTCTCTGAGGAGGGTTTGCTCAAGGGTCAGTAGGGAAACTGCAGGGCCCTGAGATGAGTTGTGTGGTTATGAGCCTGCAGGGGAGCACTGTGCCAGCAGGGCTGACATCCGAGCCCCTGCTGTTAATTGCAATAGCTGCACTCCGGCCCCAGGAGCTATGTTAAGGATCAGGTCGCAGTCTCTGGGCAGCCAAGGGACGTTATCTTATCCACTACTATGCCATTCTTGAGCTTGTCTGCATAGTATTCAGGGAGGGGAAGAGGCACTTACTCTTAAAATAGATTTAGTTTCTATTAACTAGTCTACTTTCTCCACTTGGCTCTATCATGTGCATCAACGACCCTGCTGGCCACCCATGCCTGCAGGGGCACCCTTCAGCTGGGCTTATATCTGGACTGGTGGCATGCCTGCATTTCTTACTCCTGCTAAAAATGTTTGACTAGCTTTGTTTTAATAACCTTTTTCCATCTGAAGTGCTGCTGCCATTCATTATAAAGCCACTTCAGCCTCTGACCGAGTGCTTTACTGGAAGGCAACATGAGATCTTTGAGCAATCACGAGAGGGAATGCAAAACTGTGCTACTTGACCATATAATGGACTGAGAGATAGGAGAGCCACGGAACACATCACAGGCAGCACACTGCCATTACTGAGGAGCACACCTCTGGATTAAATTGTCAACCCCATGTGAAGTACACCTCTGGCTCAAGGATTGTCATTGAGTGCATCTCCCTTCCTGCAATGACCTGTCAGAGAATAGAAATACTTGCATATTTTCCTATAGCAACAGCAAAGGAAAGTGATGTTATAATGTTAGCCACTTGGCAAGAAGAGTACCTTTTATCTATTATTTCCTTTACATTTATTCTGCCTTTTAATCTCAAGTGTACTTGCTGTCCTGGACATAGCTCATTTAAGATTTTCCAGCCTGAAATGGATTATTATATGTAGCAGCTCCAACACTTGAGTTTTGGAGAGGAAAGGAGGCTGCTTCTCTGTTTCCATGCTTCCTCTCCCCTCTCTTCCTTCCCTCTGGCAAACTATTGAAATAACCAGTGTCTCTGCTGCATCCCACAGTAAGCCTCTGACCCACAGAAGCTCATGTTCATGCCTGGTAGCACTGACCAAAGAGCCCAACCAGAACATGATTTTGCAAAATTAGGCTCCCCAACCACACCCACCTTGCACTAGCAGCATGGTAAGGACTTGGAGCAATGACAGAAGCTGGAGTCTGCTGGGTCTGTGTAGGAGGTTACTGAGCCCTGGGAAGGACAACAACAAGGGAAGAGTGTGCATAGCACTTGGGATGAAGTTTATTAATAAAGACTGAAGGTGGTCATCCACTTGGCTTGAGTTTTCCAAGCTTGCTGTATCCATGAACAATTTCTGCCTCCATTCTAACAAAACAAAAATAAAACACAGTCTTCTCTCTACCTGTCTCTGGAGGGGTGTGTCTCATGTCTTTCTGCCACATCTTCATCAGGATCAGGAGAGACTGTTTGCTGTGAACTTCTCCCTTCCTGAAAGAAACAGCAAAGATTTCTGTTTCTCTAGTTCAGGCTTACTTTATACCAATTTATGAAATTGTAGCTAAAGCTAAAGGCAGTAAAAGACAACAGAGAGGTGATAACTTGAAAACTGATGAGCATCAAACATGATCACCTCTTAAAAAAAGAAAAACAATATCAGAATGTCTACCTATTTGAAAAGAAAAAAAAATCACTATGAAAACAACCAAAGGGATTCCTTCTATTTCGTTAGCACAAAGGAAGCAAAGTCAGTGATTTAGTCTCCTGAGAAGTCACTATTTCTGCCTTGAGGGAGCCCCAAATAATTTCCCTGTGAGATTTGGAAACCAAAGGGGTTTTTATCCGAGAGTTTCATTCTTCTGCAAAACAGTGCTAGTTGAAGGGAGAAAGAAAAAAAAAAAAAAAGCAGGAGGATGTGATAATTAAATACGGAAAATTTCTGATGAGTGTCTTAGCTGGAAAAAATGTCACATATGCAAGTCTGATGTGAAAGGGATGCAAGACGGGCTGTTAGGACAGATAAGTCTTTCTGATGAATTATAGTGGCTTAGTGGCACCAAGAAGAAACTGAATACTCCTTGTTCTATTTTCTGGATGAATTAGTTTCTTCCCATCTGTTCCCAAGGATCAGTGACATTTTCCTAATACATCCATGTTTTTTTGACATATGCCTGTAGTACTCAGTGTAATAGGAGCCCAGCTTTAACCCATAATGTGTTTTGACTGGTTTCCTCCCGGGTGCTGCACCCTGTACATCCCCCTGGGCATGCACCCACAGGGGGTGAGATGAACTGAGGTGGACCACCCCATGGCCACGCTGCAACAACAGCAGCAGACAGCACAAACCCATTATTTTCCTTGTAGTTTAACCAATTCAAACCCCAATTAAGGAAATGATCTCTTTCTGAAGAAATCCATCAGCTTTTGCTTAACTCATGTAAAATTAAACCTCTCATTAAATATTTAATGGAATAAGGTGTTTTTACAAGAACCTTCAGGGTTACAATGCCAGTCGTGCAAGAGGTAAGCAAATGCCAGAAGTAAAGCTGCTGGGGCTGGTTTAAGCCCATCTCTTTCTGTGTTCCTGGAAGGACACAGTCATGGTACTGCAGCTCTGGGAGGAACATACAGACCCCTTCCTTCAGTGTTACGTGGAGCCCATTAACAGAGGTGTAAGGGCGTAGTAAAGATGATACCACATCTCTGCAGCCTGCTGCCCCCAACTCCACACTCCTGGGAGGAGGGTTGAAGGGGCTGAAGCTGGCAGGACTGTGTCCAGGCTGATTCTTCACTGGAGATTCAAGAGGATCATCCTTTCTGGAGCATATAAAAATGTAGATATTTGAAAGGCTTTCACATACAGCTACATATGTATAATTTTTATAGGCGTCCCTTCACGCCAGGGTAGCCACAGAGGAAGTGTCTGCTTCACACCCCAAAGGCCTTAGCCTCTTGCTTCTTAGAGAACTGTTTGTGAGGCTTATTTTGAGGCAAATAAAGCAGTGTATTTCCCCATCTTTTGTTCCCAGACACTGCTGATGGGTTTCACTGAAACGTTGATTAAAAATCCTGCATCACATCAAGACAGACACCATCATAAGCAATTTCAGCCCAACTGGCTCATGTTTAATAATGTGCATATGGCATTCTAGCAGCATACAGGACAAGTCAACTAATTAAATTAGAATTATTTTATTCAATAACGTATGGTTAGTTCTACCAGTATTTCTAATAATGTTGCAGCTAACACAAGAATTTTAAAGCGTCCTTGGAAACTCTTACTGAACTTGACTTAGGACAGGGGACTTGCTTACTTTTAAATGCCAACCTCATGCAGTTTGTTGCTAAAATACAGGTTTGCGTGGAGGTGCACACACATCTGAAAATAAAGATGAAGGTGAATGTACAAGACAGATGAAGGGGGGGGGAGAAACAGGTCTCAGAAAAAATCTTCATGATTACGTGAGTGACGAGAACCAAGCATTGGATATGCTGAAGCAAGTCTCTGTGCTGTAGGTTCCTCCTGAACTTAGCTGATGCACAGGCACAGGAAGCATCTGAGTTAAAATTTGCAGCAACTCAGAATTCTGAAACAACCTGACATCTTAATTTCATATGTGAGTGAATCTCTGACGGTGACTCCATTAGACTTTGGGAGAGATGACTGTACTTCACCAGTTTACAGGGAGGCACATACTGGGGAGTGAAGGACTGACGAACTTTAAAAGTGCCTTTCAGAACTTGGAGAGGGGAGAACAAAACCAAGAGAACTTTCCTCTTTTTTCTAACCTTGGAGGTTTAGAGAAACGTGACTTATCTACAAAGAAGGGGAATGTATAAATAAAAAACCGGTCTCCAAACCAGAGCCTAAAACTGATCTCAGTTGTTGCTTTCCGTTGACAGATAACAAATACGCTCCTGCAGTCACTCTCAATGGGTTCATCTTTATTCTTGGAGGAGCTTATGCACGAGCAACCACCATCTATGACCCAGAGAAAGGCAATATTAAAGCAGGTCCCAACATGAACCACTCCAGGCAGTTCTGCAGGTGAGAACAAACCAATAACACTGAATTACCGATGCCTTCATGCTTTCTGCTGATAAATAAGCGAACATGACGTGACGGAGAAGGGGTGTGGGGAAGGGAGGTGTGCACATCTGGGGGGTTCCTCATCTCTTTTGTGTGTTCAGTGCCACAGCGTTTCCCAAAGTGCACATCCAGGACCCTGGTGAGGTTCACGTGTCTCCTTAGGTTCAGGCATGATGGATCACGGGGCGAGACGTGTGTTGTGCTCCTCCAGTGACTACAGGAGTGCTGCTTTCCTCAGTTTGCTGTGTCTAACTGGAGGGTGATGAATACTGACTATAGCAGAGACCCCCATAATGTTCCAGCATGTTTTTGCTAGCGAGCTAAAAGATCCTTGAAAGAAAAAAAAACACTGAGTAAGCACCACACAGTGATATTAATTCTTATTTATTACATGCTTTTGATTGGTTTTTGGGCTCACTTCCCCAATCCTGGTCCCAGGTTTAACAAACTTCCCAACTGGCTGACAAAAATAAAACTTGGCACTCAGTGCAGGTACTGGCAGAACTTAAAGGCCTTTTTGAAAAGCCTGAGGTGGCTGTTAGGGAGAGGTGGGCTTGTTTCTGGTGTTAGGCAGCACCAACCCCTGCAGAGCTGGTCCCGTGCTGGGGGCTGTCTGAGCGGCCGGTTTCTTGGGGACAAGCCACCACTAGTCTACCCAGGAGGTGCTGGGCCAGGGTCTGGGATCAGTGGCCAGTGCAGCAGCATCGTGAGGCGCTGGGCAGAACAAGGCAGGGGTTTGTGCTGGGCAAGTGCCAAGGCACAGCACTGGCTGGTGCTGGGGGGAGGCACGGCAGCGGTGGGCAGCAGCAGACCCACAGCTCCCAAACGCTGATGCAGCTCTGCTCCTTGCCCCAGGGGTGTCCCTAGCCACTTACTGCAGCTGCAAAACATCTTTTAACTCCTGGATTTTAACCTTTCACTCTGGTGCAGATGAGAAAATTCCTTTTTAAGAAAGCATGATCAGTTTTTCTCTTTTTGCTGTTTCTTCTCGTTTTCTCCTTTTTTTTCCCTTTTTTTATTAATTTAAGGAGCGCCCTCTCTTGGATGCTGGAGCATATTTTGGTTTAAGTAAAGGTGTCCGAGAAGCCAGCTCCATCCCAGGTGGCCACAGCCATGTGCAAAGGACAGATCTTCCTTGTCCCTCCACTCTAGCAGGAGGTGGAGTGGGATGAGGAGGAGCCTGCAGTGCTCAAGCAGATGAGAATGATATTTTTCTCCTGAAAACCAGAAATAAAGGGTATGATGCAGCTCAGAATTAGAGCCCTAACCAGTAAAATTAAATGCAAGGGACTCACATGTGTGATGCATTCCTGTGTCCTCCCATAGAGACAGATGAACTGCTCTTTGAACATCTCTGTTTTGTAAAATGTAACAAAAATCCATTAATTAAGTGCCTGGAGTACACTACAAGAGAAATTGCATGGGTGATTCCAGGAAAGGGCTGTTTGCTGAGCATCTCACCTGAAAACTTCCCAGGGTTTCTAAGGTGAAAGGATGCTTTGCTCTGCACTCTGAGAAAGGGGATCCAGAGAGAGACCTTGGTGGTGGAGTAAACTCATGACCTAAATAGGTCACAGAAACCTACCTTTATAGTGAGATAGGGACTGAAGACAAGGACTAATTCAGTATATCTCAGTTGGACACCAAAAAAAGGCAGAATTTCAAAAATTCTTAGATGTGCTGGGAAACGGACAAGGAAAAATATTTCAGCCAAAAGGAAGTGTAATACCTAGGACAAAAGCTCAATCAATAAGTATATATGGAAATAAGGAGAATGAGAGGTTAGCAGCAGCAAGCAGCTTATAAATTGGCTGCGGCTGCAGGAGGCTGAGGGAAGGGAACCAGTGAGGTTCTAAGTTACATAGTGTAACACAAACTGATCAGGTGGATATTTCTCATCTCTGTTTGAAAGTGAGGGACTAAAAGCAGTGACTGCTGGTAGCAAGGAAAGATGTGAACTGAGAAATTAAGTTCTTGAATCAGGCAACCAGACTGTCTTACACACAAGCGTCTTCAGAGAGTTCACTGAGAAGCTGAACGAACCACTAATGCTGATTTTTAATAACTCTTACAATAACTCTTTCAGTCCAGGATGTATTAGGGCACTGCCAGAGTGGTTCTGTATTTTGAAAAGGTGAAAAGGAGAATTTTAGTGCAGCAATTAATTTTGCAAAGTACCAATATCAGGCTAAGTGGTCTCACTTAGCCTCGTGTTGGTCCTCTGAAAAATACCAGAGTGGTTAATTTGGGATTCCATCAACAAATATCTACATGCTAATAATATAATGAGCAGCAATCAATGCACTTTCCTGGAAAAAGGGGCTCATTAAACCAACCTGTTGTCTTTTGCTTTTTTGGGGGACAGTTGGGTTCTTTGGTTTGTTTTTTTAATCAAACATGCTTGTCTGCTAAAGACAACTGTAATGTTATAATATACTGCAATTTCTCCAAGGTATTTGGCTGGTATTATATGGAATTAACAAGGCACACATTAGAGAGATTAAATCTGCTTCACTGACAGATCTCAAAATGTAGTTGTTAATGAGAAGATATCATTGAGCAAGGCCACTGGTAGCAGGCCCTGATTCTTCTTCAACACCATTTAATATATCTACCAACAATCCAGATAATAAAAAAACTCCCCTGGTAAAGGCTGCAGGTGGCAGAATGCTTGGTGGGTAAAAATATTACAGAAGGAGATATTTTAGCCAGTTATCTGCATGCCTCAGATGGTCTCAAGCTAGCAGCAGTATTTTAAATGCAAAGGAATACATGGAGGAATCACAGTCAGAGCAACCCTGCTCCCTTTAGAAAGTCATGCACTCAGAGGAGGCCATAAAGGAGGCCACTGGGAGCCACACAACAGGAGCTCTCGTGGCAATGTAGTGGATAAGAAGCCAGTGCAACAATGGATATAGAATATAAGCCCTACCACCAAAACGAAAACAAGCTGAAGCTGGGAAGAGAGCATGCTGCTGCACACGGCGTCGGTGAGATGAGTGCCGGCCTTGGGTCCACGCATCAACATCTGGAAATACCAGCAGAAGTTCAAAGGGGAGCTGCAAAAATGACTGCGGGTTGCAAATCACATCTTTGACATGAAATTTAAGGAGTCGATCAAAGAAGGGGTGAGAGGGGACTGATCACTAGGAGCAGGCAGAAAAGCTTTCAGCCTTGCAGACAGAGGCGTAGCAGGTTTCGGCGGCTAGAACATCTCAGCCTTGAAGTGAGGCACTTCCCCAACAGCAAGGATAATTAAACAGCAAACCAGCAAGGGAGGGAGCAAACTCACCAACAGTGTGTTTTTAAGAGGAGATTAGATACATTTCCAAGAGAGATGCTGCCTGGGGAAAAGTCCATAGCCTGTGTACACACAAACTCAGATTAACTAAGCACAGAGATCCCTTCTGACCTTAGTATATGAATCTATAAATTCCTCATTCCACTCATTAGCATGGATCACAAAAAACATGGTTTAAAAGCAGCAACATAAACAACTTAAAAATTAACTGCATGCTATTGATCTCCTCTCACCAGGAATCACTCGATACCAAATTTGCTGGGAAAAATCTTGACCGCATCCCTTTTATTTTTATCTGCACTGTTTCTGCATGTTAGTGACTAGGGAGTGTGATGGCTCTGAGCGAGGGGAAAAGAAATGTGTGTAAAATTCCCCACGTGTGAAAAATTAAAAGTCCATTCAAATGGTTTTAATATCAAGTTAAATTACTTGTAAGGAAAAAATGAAAAGAAAACTATGGTTCAGATCTCCAGATCACAATCAACAGAAGAGCAAATTCAGCATCATCTTCAGATTAAGGTTGGACTGATGGAAGTCAATAAGAAATTCATGTCGCCCTAGAATTAACCTTTTGAGGGATGGTGCCAAGTGGGCAAAGAGCAATAATATGCCTGGAACGTTGTAAAATTCACTGAGAGTTCACACGCAGGTCGTGAACGTCTTCTGTGTGATGTGTGAGGGTGAGGGAAATGTTCAGCATTCCCCAAGCATCAGGGAAGTGTGTCCTGTTTGCCACATGGGCCCCATCTCAGTTTGTCAGCTCCAGGCCTGCAGAGACTTTAGAGGTGGAGGCAGCACACAGCAGCCAACAGGGATGAAGAGCTGAGAGGATCACACCTTGCTGTGCTGGACACTTCCCTCCAGAAAGCCTTGCAAAGACATCCGTCCCTTCCAGTGCTGGCAAGTCCTCCCTTTGCAGTCCTCCCGTCCCGCTGTGCCCTTCAAGGGCTTGTTTTTCCACAAGCAAAAAGAATACCCAATGCCTTTCTGTGCATGATTAAAAATTCCATATTCTGCTTGCTTAGGATGCAGGCGGCGTGCAAACAGGCCTGTGCTACAGAGAGCCTCCACGAGCAGCAGCGTGATGGTGCCAGCAATAATTCCAGAGCAGCTAATTTAGTACCAGCAATTCCCAACAGACACCAGAAAAGCATTTTCTTCCTCCTCCTCTGACTGTTAACCAGTAAGATTTATTAGATGGTTCTGCCGAATGGAAATCTTTAATAAAACTTCGACTTGGGCTGAGCAGCACAAAAACAGGGTCAGTTTGTGGATTTTTTTTTTTCTTTTTTTTTGTCACTCCTCCTCTTTTTAAATAAGCCCTTGTTCTTGAACAGTGAAGCATGGTGACTCCTGTGCTAAGGTGCTAGGCATTGGTAGTGTACAGCACCAGCCGCAGACTCCCCCAGTCAATGCCTTTCCTCATTGCAAAGTTTATGGTAACTGCAGGCACTGGAAGGAGTTAGAGCACAGCTTGTGTGGGTGGATATTCCCAGGTAAGGCTATTACAGAGCACAGCTCCTTAATGGCCTCGCACTTCTCAGCCCACAGACACAAAGGCTGCTCTGCTCAGCTGGCAGTGGTAGATGCTTGTGGTCCAGAAGGGAAAAGTGAGATCTTCCAACAGATCTGGAAGGAGATGTGTGGCTGAGGCCGT